AAAAAAAAAAAAGATATATTTTTGAAAATTTTATCGGAGCTCCACAAAGCAGATCAGCTGTGATTTGCTGAGCTGGGGAAGCCTCATAAGGCTCCTGAAGAAGCCCCTCCTGTTGAAAAGGAGGCTTGAGGACCTTCACAGAGCACCACAAACTGCACTGGTCTTGGCTGGCTTCTTTGGCTCCTCATGTTTTTAGGTAGTTGTCCAATTCCAGACTCACTACAAGAAGAGAAACCTCTAGTTCGTCAATTCTTTTTTTCCCCCTAGCCCGTGGGCTTGACCTCAAGGTCTGGGCACTGTCCCTGAGCTTGCTCAAGGCTAGCACTCTTATCACTTGAGCCACAACACCACTTGTAGATTTTCCTGTTTATGTGGTACTGATGAATCAAACCCAGGACTTCGTGTGTGCTAGGCAAGCACTCTATCACTAAGCCACATTCCCAACCAACCTCTTCATCTCTTAGTACAATTCCCCAAGCTTAGCCAGTGTTCTGTTCAAGGGCTTTCCATTTCCACAAAGGCTACCCTGGAAGGGTCAGGGGAACACTCTCATGATTATTCCTGGCCAGGGCAAGTGGCAGTATCTAAGTGTGTTCCTGCTGCTAAGAAGTTATTACTTTTTTCAGGCTGTAGATAGTGTGAAAGTGCCTGCCTTCCCTACCTTGACATTAGTAATTAGTATATTGTCTGGAAGGAACAGTATCACAGTGATGGTTCTTAGGCATTACTCTAAACCTGCCTGTAGACATCACTTAGAAAATTATATTGTTGGGGCTGGGAAGGTGGCTCAGTGGTAGAGCGCTTGCCTTGCATGCCTGAGGTCCTGGGTTCGATTCCTCAACACCACATAAGCAAAAAGAAAAAAGCGGGAAGTGGTGCTGTGGCTCAAGTGGTAGAGCAGTAGCCTTGAGCTGAAGAGCTGAGGCCCAGAGTTGAGGTTCACGACCGGACCCCCCCCCAAAAAAAAAATGAAAAAGATATTGTTGCCACCAATGGTTCTTGCCTGTTACCTCGCTACTCAGGCTGAGATTGAACCCATCCTGGGTAGAAAAGTCTGCAAGACTACCCTCTCAACAAAAGAATCTGTTGTGATGTGAGCCTGTCATCCAGCTATGATGGATGCCATCCTAAAACAAATGGGTCACAGTCTTGTGTCTTAGAACACAAACTATGAAATTATTCTAACACTCTGGAGTCTGAAGCAGAAGGATCAGGTGTTAGAAGTTAGTGTGGGCTACATAGCAAGACCTTGTCAAAATATAGAATGAGAAGTGCTAGTGTCACCTTCCCCTCTCCCGTGTTGAGGTCCATGTTTTGCCTCATTTTTAGCACTGTGCATATGGACTGTCGCTTGGGTTTATGCCCCTGCTCTGTCTCCCTTCTTTCTCAACAGTTCCAGTCTTTTAGTCAGTACCGCTGCAAGACTGCCAAGAAGTCGGAAGAAGAGATTGACTTCCTCCGTTCCAATCCCAAAATCTGGAATGTTCACAGCGTCCTCAATGTCCTTCATTCTCTGGTGGACAAGTCCAACATCAACCGGCAGCTGGAGGTATACACGAGTGGAGGTGAGTGTTCAGCAGCAGCAGAGCAGTAGTGAGCCTGTGGGGCAGTTAGTTTCTGTGCTGTGGGAAGGAGCAGCTGGGGCTGGTTTGGGACTTGGCAGTGCTCTGGCTCATGGAAGGAAGGAAGCCTGGAAAGGGCAGGCTCAGATGTTTACTGTGTGACATGCAAAGGTTGGGCCTGCCAGCCTTTTCCTGCCTCACCCAAGCACTCCTCCTGTCTGTCCCTCTCAGGTGACCCTGAGAGTGTAGCTGGGGAGTACGGGCGACACTCCCTCTACAAGATGCTCGGCTACTTCAGCCTGGTGGGGCTCCTGCGCCTGCACTCCCTGTTGGGAGATTACTACCAGGCCATCAAGGTGCTGGAGAACATCGAACTGAACAAAAAGGTAATTGCCTGCCACCATCCGCTTTCTAGAGCCCCAATGTCTGTGTGCCTCCGAGAAACTCCGAACCAGGACTAACTTCTGGGAGAGAAAAGAACACCCTACCTCCAGGCCAGTTGAAAGTTGAGACTAAAGTTGTGCCCACCACTGCAGTGAAAATCCTAGCTGGATGGTGTGAGTGGTTACTGACAGTCTGTTTTGTTTTCAAAGCAGAATTTGGATGGTGGCTTTCTCTAGGCTAAGCAAGATGATATTCTGTCTACTGTTACAGGATTAGGCGTTCTTCCTGGCCTCAGGAGTATAGGACTTTTTCTTTGGCATTTGGTTTGTTTGCCTAGTCTGCCCTTTTCTGTCTATGGGCACAGAAAGGGAAGGGAAATTAGATGTATAGAGGATTTCAGATGTGAAAGGGGAGTAGGGTCCCTCTGGTCCCTTTGTGCTACAGCCAGACACAGTGAGGCCTCAAGACTTAAATTTATCTGGCCACCCTCCAGCTTCAGTCTCATTTGGGAAGTTCAGGACCTCTGCAGGAGAAGTTCTTGGTGCTCTCCCCTCAGCTGCCCCAGGCCCCACTAACATCGGGGTCCTGTCAGGTGAATTGAGACACGTGTGTTTCTTCCACAGAGCATGTATTCCCGTGTGCCCGAGTGCCAGGTCACCACATACTATTATGTCGGCTTTGCATATTTGATGATGCGTCGCTACCAGGATGCTATCCGAGTCTTTGCCAACATCCTCCTCTACATCCAGAGGACCAAGAGCATGTTCCAGAGGACCACGTACAAGTATGAGATGGTAAGAGGCTCATCCCTTGCCCCTGTCCCAATCATTTGTGATAAACACCAGCCAAAAACTTGTACTTAATGGAGTATGTATGATAATTAGATAAATGAGGTGTGCCATGATCAAATCAGTAATTAGCATTTCTTTGTTCTTATACATTTATCATTTCTTACCACCCATCCCCCACCCAGGGCTTAGGTACTGTCCCTGAGCTTGTTTGCTCAAGGCTCTACCATTTTAAGCCATAGCTCCACTTCCATTTTTTGAATTATTAATTGGAGATAAAGGGAGCTTTTCTGCCCAGGCTGGCTTCAAACCACGATCCTCACATCTCAGTCTCCTGAGTAGCTGGGATTACAGGTATGAGCCATTGGTGCCAGGGTTTGGATTTATCATTTCTTTTTTCTTTTTCTTTTGTCAGTTGTGGGGTTTGAACTCTGGGCTTGGACGCTGTCCCTCAACTCTTGAGCTCAAGACGAGTGCTCTACTATTTGAGCCACAGTGCCACTTCTGGTTTTCTAGTGGTTTATTGGAGATAAGAGTCTCGCAGACTTTCCTGCCCAGCTGGCTTTGAACTGTGAGCCTCAGATCTCAGCCTCCTGAGTAGCTAGGATTACAGGTGTGAGCCACTGGCACCCTGTGGATTTATCATTTCTTCATATTAGAAGTCCTTCAAACTCCCTTCTTGGAGTTCTTCATAATAATAAATGATTCTGAACAATAGTCTTGCTCTTATGCTGCAGAACACTTTTATCTTCTTTGCTGCTCATTTTATGGCCCTTGTCTACGCTCCTCCCCTTTCTGGTTCTAAATACTCACGTTCTCTCTACATCTGTGAAATCCATTGTTGTAGCTCTCACATGTGCTATGTGCTGCATATCTTTGTGTGCACCGGGATCTTTTTTCTTTCTGTGATGACATGCCAAGCAAGCACTCCGGATTGAGTAGAGGATTGGAATGGGCAGCCTGCTCTGGGTGTTATTGTGCCTGTTACCTCATCACTAATGTCATTATAGGGGCCATAGCTTTCCCCAGCAGTGTCTGCATTCATTCATTTGTTCACTCACTCATTCACTAGCAGTATGCTAGAGGTTCCCTGAGCTGTGAGCATTTTTTTTGTTTTTTTTTTTTTTTGGTTGGTCATGGGGCTTGAACTCTGGGCTACTGCTTGAGCCACATCATCACTTCCGGTTTTCTAATGGTTTATTGGAGATAAGAGTCTCATGTACTTTCCTGCCAGGTTGGCTTTGAACTGTGATCCTCAGATCTCAGCCTCCTGAGTAGCTAGGATTACAGGCATGAGTCACAGGTGCCCGGCCGAGCATTTTAAAATGAGTTAGAGGGACTGCACAAGGTCTTGGGGCCAGAGCTCAGCTGCTTTATAGGTAGATGAGATTGCTGCTCAGAGTATCAGCAGAGGAGGATGGGCTTGCTGTGTGGTTTGGGGGTGCTTTCTAGTCAGCGGCAGAGTGGCTAGCATGAGCAAAGGGTCAGTCAGGGCCTGGAAGTGGTTCAGCGTTGGGGAACAAGTGAGGTAGGAATTGCGGGAACTGTGTTAGGGAAAGTACTCAGTCTTGTGTCACTGGCACACAGATTTCTCATGGCATGGACCTAGCTGGTGTATTGAGAATTGACCTGCCCATAACACATGCCAGCTGGAGAGGCTGAGAGTAGACCAGGAGAACAGTGAGGGATCCCAAGTTGGCCAAGGAGAACATGGCACTGGGCAGGGTGCAGTAGAGCTGGAGGGAGAATTGGGAGTCACTGGACATGAGTGGCTGGTGTTCGGTCAGCACAGAGGGGAAGCTCTGCCAGTGTAGCTGGAAGAGCCTGGCTGTGGTGGCAGCTGACACTGGAAAAGGTCTCACTGACTCTGCATCCCACCCCCAGATCAACAAGCAGAACGAGCAGATGCATGCATTGCTGGCCATTGCGCTCACCATGTACCCCATGAGGATCGACGAGAGCATCCACCTCCAGCTGCGGGAGAAGTATGGGGACAAGATGTTGCGCATGCAGAAGGGCGACCCCCAGGTCTATGAGGAGCTGTTCAGCTACTCCTGCCCCAAGTTTCTGTCTCCTGTCGTGCCCAACTATGACAACGTGCACCCCAACTACCACAAAGAGCCCTTCTTGCAGCAGCTGAAGGTGTTCTCGGATGAAGTGCAGCAGCAGGCCCAGCTCTCCACCATCCGCAGCTTCCTCAAGCTCTACACCACCATGCCTGTGGCCAAGCTGGCTGGTTTCCTGGACCTCACTGAGCAAGAGTTCCGCATCCAGCTTCTTGTCTTCAAGCACAAGATGAAGAACCTGGTGTGGACCAGTGGTATCTCTGCCCTCGATGGTGAATTCCAGTCGGCCTCTGAGGTTGACTTCTACATTGATAAGGTGAGGGTCGTTCCCCTGTCCCCTGTCGATTCACTCCCCCCCCCCTTGCTAACATCGTTGGCACCCTGGTCCCCTTAGTGATAAACAATAAATGTTAAGCCAGGCATGATGGCTCATGCCTGTAATCCTAGCTATTCAGAAGGCTGAGATCTTAGCATTGCAGCTGCATACATAAAGCACTAGGAAGGCTTTGTTGGAAAGTCAGGTTTAAGATTAGAGGAAGCCCGGCGCCTGTGGCTCACGCCTGTAGTCCTAGCTACTCAGGAGGCTGAGATCTGAGGTTCATGGTTCAAAGCCAGCCCAGGCAGGAAAGTCCCTGAGACTCTTATCTCCAATAAACCACCAGAAAACTGGAAGTGGTGCTGTGGCTCAAGGGATAGAGCGCTCGCCTTGAGCTGAAGAGCTGAGGGACAGAGCCTAAGCCCAGAGTTCAAACCCCATGACTGACAAAAAAAAAAGACTAGAGGAGGTGAAGAAGTAAGCCAAGCAGTTAACTTTGTTAGAACATTCTTGACAGGGGGAGTGGAGGCAAGGGTTCAAGGTGGGAAGGTGTCCAGCAAGCCCTGTGTTAGGGAGGGCTGCCATGTGGCCAGGTATTGATACGGGGAAGAGGAACTGTGGGGAGGAGGTGAGATTGCACAGAGTATAGGAGGAGAGATGCTTTGGAGACTGTGGGGAGACTTCATAGGCCAGAGCCATGCCCTGACCTCAGCACTAGGCTAGGCCTAGTTGGTGAGCTGAGTAGAATGGCTTTCTGCAGGGCATACTTTTTTTTTGGGGGGGGGTCTGGTCGTGGGGCCTGAACTCTGGGCCTGGGTGCTGTCCTTCAGCTCAAGGCTAGTGCTCTACCACTTGAGCCACAGCGCCACTTCCGGCTTTTTTCTTTTTGCTTATGTGGTGCTGAGGAATGGAACCCAGGGCCTCAGGCATGCAAGGCAAGCGCTCTACCATTGAGCCACCTTCCCAGCCCCTTGGGCATACTTTTTTTGTTTTTTGGTGCCAGTCCTGGGGTTTGAACTCAGGGCCCGAGAGCTTTCCCTGAGATTTTTTTCACTCAAGCCTAGTGTTCTACCACTTGAGCCACAGCTCCACTTCTGGCTTTTTGTGGTTAATTGGAGATAAGAGTCTCACAGACTTTCCTGCCAAGTCAGTCTTTGAACTGCAATCCTCAGATCTGTCTCCCCAGTAGTAGGGATTATAGTCATGAGCCACTAGTGGCCAGCAGGGTGCGCTGTTTTTGTGTTTAGATTCTCTTGCTGGACATTAGCTTTGAAAGAACTGCCCTCCTCTGCTGCCGCTACGAGAACTCTGAGTTGACTCCTGGTGCTTGGTTGTTTTTGCTTTTTTGTTTTGTCTGGATCTGGGCACTATCCCTCAGCTCTTCAGCTCAAGGCAAGTGCTCTACCACTTGAGCCAGACAAAAATGGCGCTACTTCTCATTTTCTGGTGGTTTATTAGAGGTAAGACTCTCACAGACTTTCTTGCCTGGGCTGGCTTTGAACTGTGATCCTCAGATGTCAGCCTCCTGAGTAGCTAGGATTACAGGTGGGAGCTACCAGCGCCCGGCCTTGGTTAAGTTTTCACTACATGTGGTTCATTGCTCTTGAAGAACTTGTTGGCATCCCTTGCCACCTAGGCAGAACAGCATTACTCTAGAACTTCCTTTGGCTTGGGCTATATTTGATCCTGGGCCATCATAAACTGAGCTCATAGTCTGCTCCTTGACTACCTAGGAGACAAGCCAGTCTAGATGGGCTGGAGTTAGCTTGTGCTTACACATCTGTGGAATGCAACAAACAGCCCACCCCATAGCTCCTTTGCTTGGTGTAGGGAGTGGTGTGAGTATTTTTGTCTGGCTCATATGTGAACTGGAGTGTGAAGCCCTTTGGGATCCTGGGTGATCTGCTAGACTCTCCCACCTCTTTGTGTCTTGATCCTGGATGTTCTGCTGCACTTCTGCCCAGCTTCCTGTACCAGTCAGTATATGTCTTGAGGCAGAGGAGCCTCCTCCAGTCTGTGATAAGAATAGTTTCTCTTTTATCTGAAACAGTTCTTTCATTGGCTTATCGCCTTTGTGTGTGCACATGCACTTGCACGTGTGAGCATGCCAGTCCTGTGACTTGAATTCAGGGCCAGGGTGCTGACCCTGACCTTTTTTGCTCAAGGTTAACACTACCATTTGAGAGCCACAGATCCATTTCTGGCTTTTTTGGTAGGTAATTGGAGATAAGGTTTCGCTGACTTTCCTGACCAAGCTGGCTTCAAACCATGATCCTCAGATCTCAGCTTCCTGAGTAGCTAGGAATACAGGTGTGAGCCACTGGTGCCCAGCTACACCTTTCTGATACTACTAGATTTTGTATTTGTATGCCTCATACACAGCTTCACTTCTGGCTAATTGAAGATGAGATACACTTGTCTGCCTGATCCTCGGATCTTAACCTCATGAGTAGCTAGTATTACAGGCATGAGCCACCAGTGCCTGGCGAGTTATTTTAACTTTTTTTTTTTTTGTCGGTTGTGGGGCCTGAGCTCTGGGCCTGGGCACTGTCCCTCAGCTCTTCAGTTCAAGGCTAACATTCACCACTTAAGCCACAGTGCCACTTTTGGCTTTTTTCTGTGTATGTGATGCTGAGGAATCGAACCCAGGGCCTCATGCATGCAAGGCAAGTACTCTACCACTGAGCCACCTTCCCAGCCCCTGTCTGAACATTTAATTGTAGGTTTTTATTATTTCTCTCTAACTAGTAATGCTCTTTGAGTTAGCCTCCCTCCACAACCTTGCTTTTCAAATCAACGTAGGGTTTGTCTTTAGCATCATGATTCCCAGTAAGCGGCTCCTGGCCTAGGTGGCCCTGCCTTGTGCGCTTGCTTGCTGTCCTTCTCTGACTTTGCTGTTTCCCACAGGATATGATCCACATTGCAGACACCAAGGTTGCCAGGCGCTATGGGGATTTCTTTATCCGTCAGATCCACAAATTTGAAGAGGTGAGAAATATGAGAGTTTACCCATTAGTGGGGGCAGAGATCAGAAAGTCTGAGATTGGATGTTTAGGTTTCTCAGCTAGGCTGGCAGCTGCTTGGGGCTTGGGCCCATGGGGGTTGCTGAGTCAGCCCTTTGGGGTGGCTGCTCTCTTCCCTCCCTGGTATTTCCTAATATGGGTGGATTTGCGGCTGTCTGTGCTCCCTGCACTTGGTACTGTTCTCTGGCTAAGACAGGTCTGGCCAGTTTCTGCAGGCTGGAGGACTGGAAGCTCTGTTTTAACAGACTTTGTACATTCTGTGTGTTGCCGTAAGAAAGCTCTAGGGTGTGGACCTTGCTTTAGTCATTGCTGGAGACACTGCATGCTGGTACAGAGTCCTCCAGTGGAGGCCAGGCTCCTGCAAAGGTCTCAGAACCAGTGCTCTTCTTCCTTCTAGCCAGCCAGCTACCTCACATCTATTTGTTGGTTAGTACTCTCTTCTAGCCAGGATCCTGTTCCTTAGGAAAGAAGGGAACTGAGGCTCCACTAAATTCACCATGCTACACCCTTTCCTGTCTGTAAACTGGGCAGAGTGGGGTAGGGTATAAAGGGCATGTGGGTTTTCCCAGTGTGGTAGGATCCCCCCTCCCTCATACACACAGAACTTCCTGGCAAGGAGCCTGACTTAGTGCTCCTATGTACTGTTGGGTAAGTTTAGAAGACCCTTCATCTAACTTTGCTGTTCTTTGCCTTCTAGCTTAATCGAACACTGAAGAAGATGGGACAGAGACCCTGAAGCACTCAAGTGACACTGTCGTTGTAGATGGGAAGTATTTTTGTCACCATGAAGCCTTTACTCAAATCTGCCATCAGCTGAGTTGGAATTGCCTCAAATTAAGGACTAAAATGTTTTCAGTAGTAAAGGATCTTGGGAGCCAGATTTGTCCTATCATTATTATGGGGAGAATCAATCCAGAAGCAGAATGTCATTTTCCACGTGCTTCAAGTACCATGAAGGAGTAAATGGAATTCTCAGATTCTGGTGTTCACAGAGCACATACAGTGTTCATGTACTTGCAGCCCTGGTGTTCATAGAGCATAGGCAGTGTGCATAAGGTTGATGGCTACTTACAGGGCCTTACATGTACTCCACATCTCGTTTGTGCCTCATAAGAATCCCTTGAAGGAGCCTTGCGCTGGTGGCTTACGCCTATAATCCTAGCTACTCAGGAGGCTGAGATCTGAGGATCATGGTTCAAAGCCAACCGGGCAGGAAAGTCCATGAGACTCATCGCCAATGAACCACTAGAAAACTGAAAATGGCGCTGTGGCTCAAGTTGTAGCATGCTCACCTTGAGCTGAAGAGCTGAGGGACAGCGCCCAAGACCAGAGTTCAAGCCCTATCACCAACAGGAAAAAAAAAATCCCTTGAAGCTGAGTGTCTAAGGCTTACATCTGTAATTCTAGCTACTCGGGAGACTGAGATCTAAGGTTAGCTGTTCAAAGCCCAGCCTGGCCAAGAAAGTCAGTGAGACTCTTTTTTTTTTTTTTTCAGTGAGACTCTTATCTCCAATTGACCACCAAAAACCTGGAAGTGGAGCTGTGGTTCAAGTGGTAGAATGCTAACCTGGAGTAAAAATGCTTAGGGATAGCACCCAGGCCCCAAGTTCAAACTCGAGGACTGGCACAAAAAACAAATCAGAATCCCTTAAAATTTAGGTGACTTCCATAATTGGTGGCAGTGCTAGATCCTGGGAATAAACCATTGGACATTTTCTACTGCCAGAAACTGTCCCAAGAGGTCTCCAGGAACATGCTTAATAACCCTTAACCCATGCTTAACATGCTGGCATTTAGTACTAGCTCTCCATTTCACAAATGAGGGTGACTTTGTCATGGCCAAATACTAAAAAACCAAATTGGTTCCAAACTACTTTTATTAGTCTTCTGCTCAGGTCAGTACCACTGCTAGACAGTGGGCCTACTGTAGGTGTCTGTCATGGGGCCTTGTAATGGAGGCTTGGGTGGGGCTGAGTGGCTTCTCCATCTCTCCGTGCTGATGCTGTACTTGCCCCCTAGGCTGGGCACCAGATTGGTGCTCTGTAGGGTTGGAGAGCCTGCCCTAACTGGGCAGTGGTGAGAATGCACAGGGTCCAATCTGGCAGTATGTTTGTTTCTTGCACATGCCTGGAGCTTATGTAAGCTCTATCTTGTCTGGGTGAAAGGCTGTAGTGGCTACAGTTCCCAGTGGTGCTTATAGGGACCCATGGGAAAGGCCCTGCCCTAGTAGATGTCAGTTAAGGATCTTGGAATGAGATCCTCTGGGTTATTGGGGCAAGCCTCAAGTCCAAGGACAGGTGTCTTTACCAGATACCACTGAGGAGAGACAAGGAAGGCCATGTGAGGATACTGGACTCAGCCATAACTAAGGAAGGCTTGGAGCTGGAAGAGGCGGGGCAGCTTTCTCCAGAAGTGGCTGATACCTTAATGTTGGACTCTGGCTTCTAGAATGGAGGGAAATTCTGTTGTTCGGAGCTACTGTGTTTAGTTAAGTTGTTTAGCCCTAGGTGTCTAATATGTATTGGAGACAATTAGGATTTTATAAGCAGAAACAGGTGCTTTTTCTTATTAGCAAACCAGCCAGGTACTTCTGGGAAAAGGAGGACTGAGGTCAGGGAACCACATCCCTGCCTTCATGGAACTGAGTGTTAAATGAGAGGACAGGTGAGAGCCCATGCTTAGTGTGTTGGGGTGGTGAGAATCAAGGAGTTTCTGTTTTAAACAGGAAAGGAGATGACACTGACAGGTGTTTGATGGTGTAGTGGTGTGGATCCTTGGGCAAGAGCTTTGATGGATAGGAAAGTAGGTGCAAGACCCTGCATGGATACATGTGTGCCAGGATTGGCACGAATGGGGTGGGGGGGGAGCGGGAGGGGGTGTGTCCCTACACATTTGGTGATAAAGACTGCCATGCCCAGTGAGGTGGAAGACTTTCCTCACCGGAGATTGCAGAACTTGTCCAAATTCCACAGTGAAAGGGTGGAGCCAGGAATCAACCCAGGTCACCCTGGGGGCAAAAGCCTCCCTTCCCAAAGGAAGGAAAAGCAAAAGCTTGTCTTGGGGCCTGTGCTAAGTCCAAACGTTTGTAAAACACTTGGTTATTTTCCAGGCACTGTGACTTTGTGGAGCTTGACGAGTGGTGGTCAGGATCTTTTGACCCCCAGGCCAGGCCAGCCAAGGCTCCATATCTACTTCCTGTCCTGTCTAGTGCTTTGGGAAAGCTAAAGAACATTGCAGCCCTACCACTGGCCCTGTGCTGTGCACAGTAGATCATAGAGATTCACTCACTTGAGCAGCTTCCCCAGCTAATGTGCTGAATTCAACATCAGGAGTTTCATGGGCTGGGCACCAGTGGCTTACATAGGTAGGCCTAGCTACTCAGGAGACTGAGATCTGAGGATTGTGGTTTGAAGCTAGCCCAGGCAGGAAAGCCAGTGAGACTCATCTCCAATTCCCAAAAAGCTGGAAGTGGAGCTGTGTTTGTTCTGTCCAGGTCTCCTTTCTCCATCATGAAAAACTTGCCAGGTCTGCCTGCTGTGTCTGACAAAGCCTCAGTCCTTTTAACCTGCTGGAAGACATGTCATTTCAGGGTCACACAGACTGAGTGTGTGTGAGTGCCTGGCTCCAGGCCATCCCTCAGCCCGATGGCTGTGCTAGGCGGCCAGCAGCTTTATGAGGGGCAGGCACCGCTGATCTCTGCCTGGCACCGCTCGAGGAATGCAGCGGGATCAGCAGCTGCAGCCAAGACAGGAGCTTGATTCTGGCTTGCCCCGAGCAAGCAGGTTCAGAATCCTGTGAGCATGACCAGCCAGGGTTGTGCTGTCCGGCAGCACAGCAGTATGCAGCCTGGTCAGACCTGGGTGTGAGTCCAGATTCTCAAGTAGTAGCTGTGTGCCTGGCGCAAGTCAACTTAGTCCTTAGTACCTTGTATTTCTCATCTATTAAATGGAGATGGCACCTACCTTAGGATTGTTCTACTAATTAAGTTCTCAGCACAGCACCTGGTGTGTAATTAAGGGGTGAAGGCCAATATTAGTGTCTGGCAGTGCCCTTGTCAGAGCCATGGATTATAGAGATGGAAAGGTCACATGAAGGACAGATAGTCTGGCATCTTCATGGTGGATCTGGGTCTTTGCAGCATATAGACATCAACCAGGGGCTTTCCCCACTGCCTCTTCTTCCAGGACAAGACAGGATGGAGGGTGAGGGCTGGGGTGTGCCTGACCCGTAGTGCTTGAGCTCATCCGTGGGTGCATCTCAGGATCAGAGGGGGGAGGGCAGTGGCGAGGCCAGTTCACAGAGTGGCTGAAGCACTTCCTCTTCTTCCCTGTCCCCCACCTCTGTGCCAGTTCTGGGGCTTGAACTCAGTGTCTCACATTCGTCTTGCTCTCCCCCCCTTCCTCCCCCAAAACTTCTTTGACCACTTGACTTTTTGCTGGAAAATGGGAGATAAGAGTCAGATTTTCAGCCGGATGTGGGTGGCTCACGCCTGTAATCCTAGCTACTCAGGAGGCTGAGATCTGAGGATCACGGTTCAAAGCCAGCCCAGGCAAGGAAAGTCCATGAGACTATTATCTCCAATAAACCACCAGAAAACTGGAAGTGGTGCTGTGGCTCAAGCAGTAGAGCGCTTGCCTTGAGCTGCAGAGCACAGGGACAGCGTCTAGGCCCAGAGTTCAAGCCCCAGGACCGACTAAAAAAACTTCAACCCTAGATTTTAGCTTTCTGAGTAGCTGGGATTATAGACATGAGCCACCAGCCCCTGGCCAGAAGCACTTTCTAGAGCAGCCCAGCTACGCACGAGCTGCTTGCACAGACAGCAGTGGGTATGGAAAGAACCAGGAGAATTCAAGATTTGGGCAGCTACAGAGGACGAGACTTGTCTAGTTCACTGTGTTGCAGCTCAACATGGTAGGGCCATTAGGGGTGGTGCTGGGCAGGACAGGAACAGAGAACCTGGCAGGGCAGTAGGGGTGGAGTGATGGTTGCCAGAGTATAAGGATTTGGGGCCAGGCTGTGTGTGTAACCAGCTGTGGCTAGATCCTTGATCTTTAGACCAAATGAGGCAGTGAAACCAGCTGTTGTCTGAGGACTGCAGCCCCGCTATGGTAGAATTCTATGTATGATCTGAATCAACCTGAGCCAGGAGCCCTTGTGCACACAGAAAAGAGGCAGCACTGGGTAGCAATGACCCTGGCAGTGAGAGGATCTTGTGTGTGGAGGAGTCAGTGAATGAGGGTGGGATGGACTGGGATCAGTCTGGTCACCTGGCAGCATGTAGAAGACAGTGTGGCGGATAGATGGACAGGCAATAAGGTAGTCTTTACTGCCTGCTAAAGACTAAGGGCTGCCTGGCTCTTCTCCTGGTGACTGCCTGTACTGATCCCAGCCTGCCCTGCAAACTAGAGACACAGCAGTATGTAAGGTTTGGGGTCAGGAGCTGGCCTCTGGTGTGGGGGCAGGGTTTCAAGAGGAAGCCAAGAGGGAAGCAGTGGGTTGGCCAGAGTCAAGGTTAGAAGCCCAACTAGCAGTTTCCTGAAGAATAGGAAATAGCCATTTATCCTGGTGTTTGCGCCCTGCATTCCTGTCCAGCCTGCTGTGCAGAAGCCTCATTCTGGTCCCACCCTGCCCCTATGCAGGGTCCTCCTCCTCCCTTCCCCCTACTCCCCTCCCCAGCTGGATCCAGAGAGGTTAGCCTCTCCTCCTGGTTGAGGATAGGGACCGGAGGGATTTCCTTCATGGTTCATTGCCCCTTCAGCCTGGGGTGGGGGCTTCAGCAACAACTTGACTGAAGCCCGGCTCTGTGGCTCACTTCTGTAATCCTAGCCATTCAGGAGGCTGAGATCTAAGGATCATGGTTCAGAGCCAGTCTGAGCTAAAAACAAAACAAAAAACCTGCAATTGAAAACCAAAAAGCTGGAAGTGGAGTTGTGGCTCAAGCCATAGAGTGCCAGCCTTGAGCCAAAAAGCCAAGCAAATAGAGCAAAGTCTTAAGTTCAAGGCCTAGTACCCGTATGTGCACACACACACACACACACACACACACACACACACACACACACAGAGCTCAGCTTCACTGAGCCACTGCTGCAGGAACCACTGGGCTTCCCCAATTATCAGCATCTGACGCCAGGGGCGAGGCGTGGCTGGCTGGTGTTTTTCCAACTGTAGGGTGGTTACTTGAGTTGAGGGGCACCCTGCCCCATCCCTGCTTTATTCAGAGGGAAAGAGACTCTAGAGCATGGACAGAAAGTACTGTGCTTGTGACAGGAAGAGCACCACATCAAGTAAGGTTGACAAGCAGGCTGCTTCCGGTGTGCAACAGCCCTTTGCTTGCCCCTCAGTCCTCCTGGCAGGGAGGCTCTCCCTGCCTGTGACTTGCCCAGGGCCACAAGAGGCTTGCTATGCATACCATCCCTAAGTCAGGCCCTCTGGTCCCTTCCTACTCCTGCCAAATTTCTGCCCCTGAGAAGCTCCAGAGCAGCAAGAGCCTAACACTTAGGGCCTTGAATGTCACATTAGACCCAAACATTGGCCCAGCCGGCCAGGTGGGAAAATCCAATAGCAATAAATACTGCAATGGAATAGACAGAAGGCTAAGGCTGGAGACTAGGAGGCTGCCTTGTTCATACTTGGCCTTAGCACAGGAGTGACCAGGGGCCGGGGGGGGGGGGGCAGAGCTCCTGAGAGGGTTCTGATTCACCAACTCCCTGAAAGCTAACATGAATGAAGTTATTTGATAACCTTATGCAGTGTTGAAGTGGACACAATGCCTGCCATGATTCTTAGTGGTGAAGAAAGTTCTTTGTTAGGTCAGAAAGAGCCAGGCTGTGTCTTGACTGTAGCTTGTGCCTGCTGGGTGGCTCCCAGCAGTCTGTTTTATTGTTTCGTTTTTTTTGTTGGTTGTGGGGCCTGAACTCGGCCTGGGCCGCTGTCCCTCAGCTCAAGGTGAGTATTCTACCTCTTGAGCCACAGTGCCATTTCTGGTTTTCTAGTGGTTTATTGGCGATGAGTCTCATGGACTTTCCTGCCTGGGCTGGCTTTGGACCATGATCCTCAGATCTCAGCCTCCTGAGTAGCTAGGATTACAGGCGTGAGCCACCGCCACCGGCGACCAGCTGGCAGTCTGGTTTTTGTGTCAGTACTGGGGCTTGAACTCACAACCTCATACTCTAACTTAGGTATTTCTGCAAAAGACTGGAGCTCTTACTACTTGAACCACAGCTCTACTTCTGGCTTTTTTTTTTTTGGTTGGTCATGGGGCTTGAACTCTGGGCCTGGGTGATATTCCTCAGCTCTTCAGCTCAAGGGGAGTGCTCTACCGCTTGAGCCACAGCACCACTTCTGGTTTTCTAGTGGTTTATTGGAGATAAGAGTCTCACAGACTTTCTTTCCCCGGGCTGGCTTTGAACCGTGATCCTCAGATCTCAGCCTCCTGAGTAGGAGTACAGGTGTGAGCCACGCCCAGCTACTTCTGGCTTTTTGATGGTTAATTGGAGATAAGAATCTCAAGGACTGGGCTGAGAAGGTGGCTCAGTGGTAGAGTGCTTGCCTTACATGCTTGAGGCCCTGGGTTTGATTCCTCAGCACCACATAAACAGAGAAAGCCGGAATTGGCATTGTGGCTCAAGTGGTAAGAGTACTAGCCCTGAGCCAAAGAGCTGAGGGACAGTGCCCAGGCCCAGAGTTCAGGCCCCGTGCCTGGAAAAAAAAAAAAATCTCAAGGACTTTCCTGCCTACGCTGGCTTCAAACTGTAATCTTCAGACCTCAGCCTCCTGTGTAGCTAGGATTACCAGCATGAGCTGCCTGCACCTAGCTTTGAGTGTTTAACCCCTCCCACCAGCCTTACTCCTATGGCTAAGCAGGAATGAAGATTAGAGTCTAGCTCGTAGTTGTCAAAGGAATCAACCAGGAAAAAGGCCAAAAAACAAACACCAGAAGCCTGAACTACAGTAAAGTTTAGCTGACTATGAACTTAAACATCTTCAGTCAATTGGCAGAAAGAGCCCTGTAAAAATGCAAGACAGACAACATAAACCAGATGCTATTAGCCCATGCCTATAAGGCCAAGATCTGAAGATCGCAGCTCAAAAGACTTTTTTTTTTTTTGAGTCTTGGGGCTTGAACTCAGGACCTAGACATCATCTTTGAGCTTTTTCTCTCAAGCCTAGCACTCTACCACTTGAATCACAGCTCTACTGGCTTTTTTTTTTTTTTTTTTTTTTGGCAGTGTATTGAAGATAAGAGTCTCGTGGACTTTCCTGCCCAGGCTGAGTCTGAACAGCTATCCTCAAATTTCAGCATCCTTTGTAGCTAGAATTCCAAACATGAGCTACTGGCACCTAGCTCTTTCAAACTCTTATTTCCATTAACCACCAAAAAGCCAAAAGTAGAGCTATGGCTCAGCTGGTACACTGCCAGCCTTGAGTGGAAAAGGCTAAATGCCTAGGCCCTGAGTTCAAGTCTCAGTATCTGCACAAACACATGACAGACAACATGGGTAACTTCAAATGCTACCACACAGCTACCACTTTGCTTTTCTCCTCATCTTCCACCTTGCCTTCTTGTGCCTGTTGGGGGTAATTATTCCGTGATCTGTCTTCCACACTATCCCTGGGCCCTCCTGGGTAGACATGTGGAAATCCCACTCTCAGCATGGACTTCCCTTCTGGGTCCCACCACATAAGGGCAACTTTCAGTGAGAAGTCTTAGAGCCAGCTTCTGTCTGAGCCAGTCTTAGAGCCTTTGGATGGCTTCGAAGAGATAGCAGTAGGCATTTCAGCTCAGCCAAAAAGTAGGGGGAGAGACAGACAGTCTAACAGGCTGGGCTCCCTAAGAGCAGCCTAGAGCAGTGGGGGGGGGTATGGGCCCCCTGGAGTGCCTCATTCACAGTCGTTGCACCATCTGTCTATTCCTGGAGGGAGCTTTGCTAGGTTGGGGACCTTGCCTGCTTGTCCCCTCCTGGACAGTCCAAGGTGACAAAGATTACCCAGCTCAGTTAAGTACCACTCCCTTGGAAGGGGTTCTATTTGGAGACAAGACAGCAAGCCTACTTGGTGTCAGGAGAATTTTCTAGAACATGTATAGGCATGGGCAGGATGGTGGAAGGTTGGGAATAACCATCTGGAGATCCCTGGGCTCTAGGAACCCAGGTTTCTCTGGGTGGGATCAGCCAGGGCTCCGGGCTGCTCTGGCACCTCAAGGATGATGGGGAGGGGAAAATGCTGCCACTCCTGCCACAGAGCCTCCCACCCACTTTCCACTGGCCCGGCCCTGCGCCTCAGGTCCCACAATGCTCCCACTGTCCCTGTTTGCCAGGCTGCCCCCCCCAGGGAGCAGCTGAAGCCAAGGGCAGGGGCAGGGCCAATCCCAGGCAGACCCACAGAAGCAGCTATGGAACTTGGAGAATCCTAAGTCAAGAACCCTGAAGCTCAGAGTTGCATTGAAAAATGCAGCTCTGGGTTAGACAGTCACAGGTGTCCTGGCCCCAGTCTGTCCCGCCTCAAGGACATAGGCCCACTTCCTCATCATCTTCTGTTTGGTAGAAAAATGATTCTTGCTCCCCCACCACCACCCTGAGTAACCCAGGCTTCTCATATTCCCAGTCATTAGCCTATGCCCCAGTGCTGAGTAGACAAATTTTTTTCTTGCTTGGGGCTCGTTTTATTTTTAAATTAGAGCCTACGACTTAGGGATGTGGCTCAGAGATAGAGCACTTGCCTAGGGCAAGGCCCTGGGCTTGATCTCTGGCATTACAAAAATTGTCAATAATAGCCGGGTGCTGGTGGCTCACGCCTGTAATCCTAGCTACTCAGGAGGCTGAGATCTGAGGATCGCGGTTCAAAGCCAGCCGGGGCAGGAGAGACCGTGAGACTCCTATCTCCAATAAACCACCAGAAAACCGGAAGTGGCGCTGTAGCTCAAGTGGT